TGAAATTGATTAAAATTTCAATAAAAAATAATTTATATTGTCCTATATCAGGTATTTTTTTTAATCGAAGAACAGGTGTTATGCTAAATAACAATGCGGAATAACTTATGTTATGTTTTTTACCGTGTTCTCAATACAATTAAAATAGAAATACTCCATTCCCCTTGCAATTCTTTTTTTTTTCTAAAATTTTTTCGTAATTACGACCATTTTCATTTCACAAAATGAGCTTCTTAAATTTATTATCATGGGGTTGAGACATGGAGAGTTTCCGGTAATAAATTCTTTATATAATCTTTCTAGTTCTGTTTACAAAACCTTCAACTAAAGCGGTAGTTCACTGTATTAAATTTAGGACGAAGAGAAATTTTTTTCAGAGATTTTCTGCCTTGTATTTCTTTCTAGTGTTCTACAACTTCCATTTTTCTGCAATTGTAATTTATTTTTGCTTGCTTATAAAGTTGTGGTTTTTTCTTATAAAATTTTATAATATTAAATGAAAATTAGTGATACTTTCGCTATACGTTATTATTGCTTAAGAATCTTAAGAATACTTAAGGAATGTAACCGAAAACAAATTAAAGACTTTAAAATCATTCAATTTCCAACATTGATTTTAAGAATGTGTGTGTATATAATTCAATCACAAAGAATCACATTCAACACCCTGTTCTGTTCTTATTTTCATTTTATAATTTTTCCCAAAAAAAAAATTTATAATCTTATTAATTATCACTATACAAAATTGAAAGAAAAATTATCAGAATCAGTGCCAAAAGATGATACGGGGAAAGAGGAAATCATTCATTCACCTTGTTACTCTTACTTGTTTTGTTATTTTATGTGTATATTTTGAAATGGGACCAAGTTTTACGCATAAAAACATATTCTTCTATAAAAAGTTAAAAGAAAAATTTCAAGAAATTCTAAGAAATATAAAATCTAAGTATTTGCTTTTTTTTTGTTGAAAACTTCTTATATAATAATTTAAAAATTTATAATCTTCCAAAATATTATTTATACCTAACTCTAAGAAAATTTTTTATTTAAATTTTATATAGAAGAGTAGAAAGGCGTATACATACGTAATATTACTCATATGGAATGTTTCATAAAAAAAATATTCGCACATGAGTTTTTATAAGATAAAGGTGTTTTTAGAAACCCTTCTCTAATGTAAAATATTAATAGATTCTTATAGATAAACTTATAGGAACAAAAACAGTGCTGTTGTTAATACTATAATTTACCTAAAAAAACAAAATTAGCTAATGTGTTAATTTAGAAAATAAAGTTAAGATAAAGGATTTACGAACAGTATTAAAAGAATCAAAGAAGAAAGTTATTAAAAAATAAAACTTCAATAATTTGTTAGGTATATATGAGAGAAGAAGAAACTTTTTGATAATGAAATGTTGATATTATTTTGCTTTATCTTGTAAACAATCTTTGAATTTTTTCAGATGAATAAAATAATTAGTAAAGTGGAGTAAATATATTTATCTATTGTAATATTATTGTTTGTATACGCGTATATATAAATATATATAATATAAAGAAATTTTTGGTGTATAGCAATAAAATTGGAGGAAAAGAGCGAGCTCGACGACCCTAATCATTGGAAAGACTATGGAGCTGACACTTGTTCCATTAATTATGCAAATACCTGCTTTGTTCGAGGTCTTATTTCTTGAAACTGAGACTAGTATTAATAATATTCCCTTTTTTTTTGGCTGCTCCAGCCCCCCTCGGGAGCATAGGGCCTCAAAAACCAGGCTTGTTAGCTTTTCTAATATATGAAATACTTAAAGAGAAGTAACACCTAAATGCGCTTCTAAAAACACTTGAACCTGGAATATTATTTTTGTAAAGTTATTCCTTAGTTTTTGAGAGTCAAAACTATTTTGCTTCAATAATCACGAAGTGTTATACCAACTTCAATGTTCTAAATTATAAGAATAAAATTATTAAAAGAAATTTAATTTTCAAAAATTTCCTCAAAACTTCCACGAATATTTTAATATTTTTGTATATTGCTTTTTGCACCATAAGTGCATTTACTTAACATTACATGCACTCACATTCCATTGTATCAATTTGCAAACAAATTTCTTAAGTAACATAAAAAACGTAGGAAATCTAAATTTAGTTGTTATGGATTAATTTCTAAATATATTTGTAAAGTATTAATCGGATTTAATTTATATAATCTTTTATTATTACTCTATTGTATTATTATTAATAAAATTATTTTCTCTATATGTAGCTAGGTCCTTTAACATTTTAATTACAAAACCTTGATCTCAAACTATTTTGATTTACTAAAGAATTAATATTTTCTTCCATATTTTTATGGGATTCAAGTAAAATTTCAATAGAAAATTTATAAGAATAATATTTTAGAATTTTAAGAAAAAATTTTTTTTTCTGTAAATTAAACTGAAATTATAAGGTCATTTGATTTAATTTGTTAAAATCTCATAATTTTATAAAAAAAATATTTTTCTTTTATGTACAGAATGTTAGAGAAATTTTTGAAAAATATTTAAAAAAATAGAAAAAAAAAATTCTGAAAATTTTTTAAATATTTTTAATAAATATTTTCATAATAATTATTTTAGTTTTGATAATCTTTTAATAAAATTTAATTTGTTTACCATAATGGAATTTAATTAGTGTAGTTATAAGATCCTGCAAATTAAATATTTATGAAAATTATTATTTAAATAATTAAAGAATTATAATTATTAAGAATTATTAAGAAAACAATAGGTTATATTCTATATAATAATGTAATAAAATTTTATTTTAAATTGAATTTTTCTTATTGACTAGACATTTCATGAATTTGAATTTAGTAGTTATACCCAGGAGAGTCGATTTTAGAATAAATAATTTAATTGAATAATTTTACAAAATAATTTCTTAGTTAAAATATTCAAGTCTAATTATTGCAAATTTTAGAAATAATATTCGTTTATTACGAAACAGAATAAATTTACATATATCAAATATAATTTGTTCATATAGTTGTAGATTTGTAATTTTTAAATTTTGAATACAGTGAAGAGAATAGACACTTGTAACTATGTATTTACTTCTTTTCAGAAAAAATTTTAAAATTGATCATAATTATTTTTTAAAATTTCTAATCAAATCGTGTTTAATGCAAAAATTAGCAATACTAAAAATAAAATGGTAAAAATCAGGGACTAAATTGCGTGTGAGTATATTTGTAAGATTAACATAATATTTAAAAAAATATTTATGCATAAAAATATATTTATTTCAAATTGGTTATTAATAGCTCAAATTACCTGAGTAAAATTGCGAGAATTTACAACAACTTTCGAAAACCATCGCAAGCAAACAAAGTTGGTATTAAGAAATTTATTTGAAAATGGAAATTATTAAAAACAGCTAATTATTTTTTTTTTGGAATGCTTTAGTAGTAATAAGATTAGAATAATGTTAATAAGAGATTGTTCTTTTATAACAAAGTAATCATCTTATTAAAAAATATATATTAAATCAATACGATTTAATAACGATTTTCATAACAATGGTTCCATTAAGCCTTATCAACTCAAAATAACAACAAAGTTATAAAAATTACTTCTATTGTCAGATACAAATTACATTTGAAATTTCTTTCGAAATAATTTTATTTGCTTCGTGAATTATAATATCAACTGGAGCAAATTCATGAATAATGACATTCTCTTCATGAACCTTATTAGCCCTATAAATTTCGTAATAGTACAGTTTTTTATTGCATTTAATAAATGAGATTTCTCGAATCGCTTACGAATTTAATGTATTTATTTTAAAATTAGGACTAATTCAAATAAAATTAGATATAAAATCAGTAGTATTTTTTCTTGTATATTGTTATACATTATTTAAATTATCAGAAGTTCAATTGTTATAAAAATATATAAATGTTTATTAGTTTAGTATGAATTATTTCTATTTAATTATAACTATTATTCCCTTGTAAAATATAAAAATTTAACCCCAAAATTAAATTAAAATATTTTTGTTGATATTTTTTGAGTTCTAGATTTGAAAGTATTCCTTTATTATTTCTTTATTTTTCATTATTTTAAATTATATAATTATTTTGATTTATTTAATTATTAAAAAATTATTATTTACAAATAATATATTAATTATTATATTTTTAAAAATAATAAAATGTTATTGATGTTTATAATTAATTAATTGTTTTTGATTTTTTTTATAAATGTTAAAAAAATTTCTTTTATTTTTTTTTTTACAGAAAAGTATATATAGATAACTATAAAATAATAATAAATATTTTAAATGTTGTCGATACCTTCAAATACAAAAAAAAAAAAAAAGATGCACGTCTTCAAAAATTCCAACTAACGATTTTGTATAAATAAAAATTTTTTTTTTTTCTGAATTCACGTTATATTAATTAAAATATCATTCTGTAATAATATTAATGAAATCAAGAACAGAATCAAAAATCGGATCACATTTAATTTTATATTATAAAACTATATAGTAAAAATTTAATATTATAATTATCGTCTATTTGAGTTTTTTAAAAAAAATTATATTATTATAAATGTGTAAAATATAGTATTTAATTGTATAAAAGAATTTTTAATGTATATATATTATTTATTAATGTATATATATATATATATATATACGTTTTATAATAATTATTATATTAATGCATAATGTTTGTGTATTTTAATTAATATTGAAAAAATAAGAATATTAATAGTGTCTTTATAAATTAAAAATATAAAATTAAATTATTTCATATTATTATTTTATTATTTTACAACACAAAAAAAAAAAAATGATAATAAAATATAAAAATATTAAAGTAAAAATATTATAATCCCCGAAAAATATGCAAACAAAAAGATATTATTATATTTGATAATGAATGAATTTTATATAAGAAGTGGCAAATAACGGTATTAATTTAAATAAAATCAAAAGAAAATTTTAAACCGTTATTTATTTTTTAATAAACGCCGCCAAAAATTCTTAATTAATTTATTTAATTATAAAAAGGATAAATCTTATATATTTTTAAATTTTTTTTTGTTTTACTTGCTAATACTGGGTTTTTAATAAAGAAAATAAAACGGACACTTTAAACGCAATAGAAACAATTTAAATATAATTTAATTTTTAATTAAATCAACCATATTTTTAATTAATTAATTAAGCAGTAATAATCGTAATAATTAAAACTAAAGCAACAACAATTGTAAACAAAAATAATAGTATAACAGTTCAGCAGGAAAAAAACAAAATCAAACATAATATTTATTTAAGAAAGCCTCCGTTTTTGCTTTTGATTCTTTTGATTCGAAAAAAAAAAAAAAAATTATTTGTGAATTGCGACAAGAAGATTTTAAAGTAAACAGAAAAACATCAGATATGAAAAATGGCAAAACTTCGGCAGTACAGGTCAATGGACGTCCAACCAACAACAACCAATATACGAAAAAAGTTAGGAAAACAGGATAAAAAGTTATTCTCCTCTTTAACTTATTTTCTATCTATATAGATTTTTTTTTTATATTTACGTACAAATAAAAAAAGCTTTTTAATTTTATAATTTTTATTTATACTTTTTATTGGCAAAATTTTTAAATTTTCATTGGCAATCTGGTAAAAAAAAAAAATATTATTAAACACAAAAATAAACGAACATTAAAAATAATGAAAAAGTTTTTCATATGAAAAAGGATACAAAAAAGAAAAAAACTTTTTCTGTACTAAAACAAAAAAACAAAAACAAGAAAAAAATTTTTTAAGCTTTATTAAGGAAAAAAAAAACAAAAAATGTTTTTCAAAGCTTTTTTTCTTCTCACAAAATGCTTTTATACTTTTTGTTTGCTCTTTTTTTTTGTAATTTTCAAGGAAAATTAAAAACTATAACAAAATTATTATGCTTTATTATAACAGTTATAACAGTGTATAACAGCTTATATTTTATTTATAACATTATAATCGCTTTAGTACTAAATATTTTATTACATTTTTCTATTTCGGCGATACAAAGAATATAACAGTTATTCGTGACAAAAACCAAAATTTTTCATATACAAAAAAAAAACATGATTAGTTTTCGCGTATTCGCAAATAATATTTGAAATTTTTAAATTTAATTTAATCGAAACCATTTATATTCGATATTAGAGCCAGTTTTGCCTTACTGTGACAGGAATTTTAACAAGAGATTATGTAATTAGTAAGATTAAAATTTTAAGAAAAACATAATGTTCAGGTCTTTACTAATATTTTTTCTATTTTGATATATTCCTTGTATCGTACGTAAAGCTTTGTTACTCGTTTAAATATAACATAATTTTAGTAATTTTAGTGTACACAAATAAATATATTATAATTCAATACATTTATGTTATACATATGTACATAATAATATACAGAATATAACAGTATGCACGTAACATAATATACCTTAGGTAGTTTATACAATGGTTGTGTTCGTTTTAAGGATATAGTAATATAATATTAATAATATAACACTTTTGTATTATAATTATTGGTATGCAATTAATAAAAAATGGAAGCAATTCTGTTATATAGAAATCTATATGACAATATAAATAATATATATGTTCATAATATTATCTACATAATAATTATAATGAAAGCTAATCTGTATTAATTTAAAATAACAAGGATCCAATATTTATTTTTGACTTAATATTGAAGCGCCATCTACCGTAGAAAATGTGTTTGAAATTAATTTTTCTTAACTAATCCTATACAAAGCTTTATGTAATTGAAGATATTGAATGCTTGCAGTGTTATATAACTTTAAAAAGAACACAGTCATATAATTTTTTTGTAACAAATTTTTACAACGCTTTTTGTTTGGCATTTACAATAAAAATCACACTACATTATCGACTAAATTACAAATATTTAAAATTTAACCGTTACTGTAGATATGTACAAAAAATGTTATTATGTTTTATTAACACGTTGTCAACTGAGTGGCGTTTAAAAATTAACAATTCCGTTTATAAATTAAAAATTTTTTGAAATAAGAAGTGAAAGAGTAATCTCTTTTACTTGAAATTTCAACACTCAATTGATAAATGTGCGATAATTTTCATTTGCATTTATGTAAAAAGAAATTTTGCATGCTTATTTTTTAACTATTGGTGGTTATTTTAAACGTATGTGGTCTTATTTTGCGTTCTAAATAGCTGCATTGCTTCAATATAAATTTTTATTACCTAGAACAAAAATCTGTTGAAGACAACTATCTAATTTAATATAAAGTTTAAAAATTTCCAGGACAATGACGTCAATATGCTTTGTTTGCAATTTACCAATAATGTCCCATCAAGTTGGATTAGTTTGGCAAGGTGGAAATGGTTGGGATGATCTTGTCAGAGAACAGGTAATTTGAAGTTTTCTAAAAAATTTTATTCAATAAACAAAATAAAAAATTATTATTATTTAAAAATTTACACACGATTTCCTTTCAGCTGGAAGAGTCAACTATCCGGCAACGTTTAGGAGGTAGAAGAGATTCTGCTGCACAAATAATTACTCCTCCTAGTACATCTCCACCTCCAGGTATATGTTTCTGAAGTGAAAAACGAAAAATATTTTAATTTTAATAATAAATATTTTATATGAATTCCGGTAGGTGCAACAAGACGCAGGAGAAGCTCCCTAGCACAATTAACTGATATTTTGAGAGAATGGAGCGGTGGTGGCTCGAAACGAAATAAACCACCTTTAAATCGTCGTGAAACTTTAGCAGATTTAGCAAGAAGTTTACCATGGGCAAAATCAACAGCAGATGCTGGCACTGGTACTACTTCAACAGTTGCAGCTCCAACAAAAAAGAGACGAGAATCAAGTTGTGACTCTGGTATTAGAAGTATGAAGTCTCGACGTGAGTCTCATACTTCAGAATTTGCAAGACAATGGAATCGTAGAGAATCAACTAGTCCTGCTGAAAGAGACCGTGAGGAAACTAGTACATCAGCTGAATGTACAAGAAATGTAAGATTTTTCTTCCACGCAATATTTTAAAATCCAGAAAAATTTTATTTTATTAAATACTGACTTTATTGTCATTCATCAATATTAGGGGTCACGCCGAGGTTCTGGAGATAGTTATCGTTCCGGTCGGCGGGATTCAATAGCTGGTCGTCCAACAACTCCTCCACCACCAAAAATGGTGAATGCAGCAACAAAAAAGCGACGAGATTCACTTGCAGCTCCAGATTTTCCAAATTTTCGTACTGAACAACGTCCATCTACTAGTTCTACAGCATCTGATTCAAATCCTGTTATACCGATTTCTGCATCAGCACAAATAGATTCAGCTTGTCAAGCTTTACCCCCACCGACAATAATTACTAGTTCTGTAACACCACCTGCAACTAGCCCAACTGCACCAAAGGCTCGACGAGATTCAACAACTCAATGTGGGCGTTTAAATCGTCGTGACTCAAAAGTTGTAAGTCCTGAAAAAACACCGCGTCTGCAAAGATTACAACGCCAAGCAACAGCATACGATGAATCATGTTTTCCCGGTGGTAATGGTAGACGTGGTAGTCAGCCAGCATTAAGTCCAGATCCACCAGAAGATTTTGAAAGAAAAGCACGTCGTGATAGTTTAAGTCCTGATAGCGCTTCGCGTGGTCGACGTGATTCACGTTCACATCTTTCTCCAGATCGTAGTCATGAACGTGAAACTAGTCCAAGACGTAGTAGACGTACAAGAAGACAATCATCATCTGCTGGTCATGGTGGATCAAGAACACCAGATTCAAGTAGTTGTTGTTCATCACGTGATCCAAGTCCATGTGCAAGACCTCCACCAGATAGAGGTGAAAATAATCGTGAATCATCTGGTCGACCAAGTGCCGTGCGAAGACAATCAACTACAGAAGAAATTTTAATTGCACGCGGTTTTCGAAGACAATCAACAACTGAAGAAATGATACGTTGTAGAAATTTTCGTAGACAAAGTTCACAAAGTGATGATGTTTGCAGGTAAGCTTTATTTTAAAAATAAGCATATATAAGTTCATTTTATAAAAACAAGTCCAAAGACTATTGTTTTGGTATTTAATTGGCAAATATTTTTCGTGTGGTATACTTTGAATATTGTGTCAAGTAAAAAATTACATTTTTCTTGAAGTACTTTCTCATATAATAAAAATAAAGTCCTCTTGAAAATTAATTATTAATCTTTTTCAAAGACACTACTTTACCTCCCAAGCAATTGTGTGGGAAAAAAATTATTAAAAGCTAAAAATGGAAATATAAAATAAAAGCTAATTGAAACCAGATTTCGATAGACCTTGTTTTTGGAGGATAGAAGAGTAAAATTTAAAACAAGTTTATTAAAAATTAATTCTAATCAATATTAAAATGGCAATGATTTCTTCTTAAAATTATACCCATAAATCAAATGAAATTTTGTTTTTTGTTTTATTGGTAGCCAGTAGTAGTGGAAAAATTTTTACACCAATTTTATAGTTTAACATTATGTACTAAAATTTTAATTTTCTATTTTACTAGATATAGAGGACGAAGAGATTCTTGTGCTCAAATTATTGATGGTACTATTGGTACAATGACAATTGAAACAACAAGTACTTTTTTTGATTCAAGCACTCAAACAGGTAAGTCATGTTGATTTATATCAGATCTTTTATATTATTTAATATTGAAATTATTTTCAAAATTACAAAATTTTAATTAAAATTTAAAAACTATATTTTAAGCATAAAATTTTTTTTTTTTATAAAAAGAAAATTGTTTAATAGTTTTGAAATAATTTAAGAATCTCTTCAAGGAAGTAAAAATGCTAAGTATGAAAACTTTTCATATAAATTTTTAATCGTTTAAAAATATTCTCGTTGAACAATTCTATTATTTTGTTCAACCATAATAGGCTTAAATAAGATAAAAGAAAATCTCTAAGGAGTACAACGTCTAAGAAATCAAAATTATTTGAACTAAAATAAATTGGTTCAGTTCCTTAATTAATGAGCCTTTTATAGATTGAATTCAATTGAAAAGTGCATGCAATAGCTGATAATTATTATGAATTCCTCGATATTTTTTTACTACATATATCATTGAATTGGAAAATAAACCTTATACATTCATGGGGTTTCTCCTATTGCGTTCGCGTGTATAACTAGTAATCAAGTAATCACTTGCTATTGAATTTAATTTAGATTAGCAAGGAAGAAAAATCAATCAATTGAAATTTTTTATTTGTACTGAAAATCAGTTGCGGAAATGAATCTTCCATATATTGCACTTAAGCATTCTACAATAAATTGTGTCAGGGTAAGAGAAACCCTATTTTGTATAAATTTTACAAACCGCCAAACTTGACTTTTCAATAAAGTGCACATAGTACATGTTATAACTTGTGAAGGTGAACTCTAAAATGGCTTTAGAAAATTTCTGTTTTTTTTTTCTATAAATTTAATTCTCTCTCGTGTTTATTAACAGTAACTTTAACCATATTAAAACTGCAGTGAAAAATGAAGTTTTTTTTAATGTAGCTAGCTATATGGCATATTGTTCTTTTAAGAAAAATCATTATACAAAATCCTTGGCTTCATAAAGTACAAAATTTCATAGAATAGAGAAATTACTTTAAAGTTTTTTTTAAAAGTTTTAGCGTAAAAAAATATTAACAATTTCCACTTCCTCGTTTAATTTTTGTTTTTGTACCATTAACCCAATTGAGCATATTTTTTTTCTTTTATAATGTTTCGTTGGCCTTCCTGAAAAATCCTTGTATGAGAATGCTCTATTGACCCTTAAAAATGTATTTTTTAAAGGAAAAAATTTTTCCTACTACTAACATGAAAATGAAAATTTCTATTACAATAAGAAAATCGCAAAAACAACGCTAACACGTCTATGTAATCACGTAAGTGTGAATGTATGTTAAGAAAACAATATTTTTTTTAATATAAAATACAAAAAGGCTTTCTTTAAATTTTTGTGTATGTTTTTGTTTTCGTAGGCGAGAAAATATCTTAAAAGTTATACCATAACACTCAATGAAAGTAGAGAGAAAATGGAAATCAAGAAATAAAAACAATAGAAATCTTATATATAAAAGGGGTAAATAAGTAAAGTCATACTGCAAAAACAAACAAAAAAAAAACAAGAAATGAGAAAATATATGAAGAAAAAAAGAACTACTAGTAGCAAGGACATGTGATTGAAATCCTTATGGAATAAAATCATGCAGTTTTTTTTTTGTAATTTTTTTTTCTCAAAACATAATTTTGAAAGAAGCAAGGAATTTTTTGTATTTCATTTTAAGGAGGGGATAGAAAAGTTAAAAAAGAATTGTAATTCCCTTGACTTATTTTTTAAGACATAAAATGTGTCTATTATATTTTACACGTACATGATGTCTCATATATGGCAGAATGTGTTGGAATTATACAGAAAATTTAACAAAAAAATTTGATAATTTCCAAAAGTGTTAAATAATTTGAAAATTTTTAGAAATAGAAAATTTTGAAAAATTATTAAGACAATTGCCTGAAATTTAATGTAGATTCTCAGTGTTTAAAAATTAATAAGTGTACATTGTACCAAATTTTAAATTAATTTGCAAGAGAAATTTGAATTTTTAATTTTTAAAATAATTAATTTAGTTAAAAATTATATTATTTGTTGGTCAGTTGGTATGTGCGTTCAAATGTGTATCTCAAGTAAGGTTAAGCCGATTCAAATTAATTTAATGAAGAAAATTTTGTGTTAAAATTATGAATCAATAAATTTTTTGGAAAGATCGGAAACCGAATTAGAGGCCGACCTTACATTTTTTGCCATATCTACGGAACGGATTTCTGATGAGTTTTCTTGAACAGATGATGAGCTTTCTTGAAATTTGATGTGATCAGAAAATTCGGGTAACACAAAACGAAATTCTGCTAAGAATCAAATTTACAAATTATCTAACATTTTCATTATCTTCTTTAACACTTTCACTAAACTATTTAACACACATTGTGGTCGGTTATGTGCTGACTACATTAGATTTATAATAAAAGCATTTTACTAAACTCACTACTGATACTTACTAAATCCTATATTGAAATCTCTTCTAGAAAAATTATCTAATAATCTAGTTTTAATTCCAGTGGACTAGCAAATTACTTTAATTTTATAGTAATAAATAAGATTATTCCTTTTCTCAACAGGACACCATTCTCTAATAAGGATTATACAATTAATTTTTCAAATGTATATTTTGCTCTTTAATTTTAATGAATTTTTTTTTTTTTGAAGAAGTTTTCTTTTCGACGTTTTTGTTACTTTGTCATTCAATTTTCATTTTATATTTAATAAATTTTAAAATAAACAAAATATTGAAATAGCTGCATATTTACTTTGTTTTTTATATAATATAATAATATTGGGTTGGAAACGCATTCAGGAACAATTTAATTTAAGAAAATTAGAGAGCTTTTAATATTTTAAAATAAATTTTTATAAGCTGTTAGTCTCTTAAATATTAGACTTCATTTTTAGATTTGCGGATTTGGGAGAAATTTGGAGAAGATTTGGGTATGAATTTTCTAATATTAGAATATTTAAGCCTGGCTTCGCAAATTTAACTTCTCATTAATGAAAGTATTTTCAAAAAACTCAGAATCTAGAGAAAACATGAAGCCTTTCCGACAACAATTACAAGAATTTTAAATAAATATTCTTTGCACATGCTATTAAGCTCTTTAGTCTTTGATATCAAAGCAATTATTTATTTTTAAGTATTAAACAAATTTTGACAAAATCAGTGGATTTCAGGAATACTAGAATCTTGAGACTTTTTATAATTTATTTCTTAGTTAGAAACAGAATTAGAATTATTGTAATTTGTTAAAGCAGAGAACTATGACAATTTTTGCGTTCCCGAAATTTAAAATTTATTTTTTTTTATTTTTTTAAAATAATATTTTATATACTTGAATTTTTTTTCTATAAAATTTATAATAAATGACAATATAAGTATTATTATGATATCCTGTTTTAATATTTATGCACTCATAACATAAAAATGTCATGGATTCAAAAAAAAAAAAAAAAAAAGAATATTTAATGTAAATATTAAAAAGAATGTATTCGTATATAACTATAGTAAATTTGCTGTATAACACATATAAATATTCCACAACACCCACAGAATAATACTATCGTTACACAAATTATGGAAATAATAAAGATAATAACAGCACAAAAATGTTTTCTATCAGAGTATGTCATTAGTTGGTTGTTCAATATAATCAATTAGCTAAATTAGCTCAAATCTGCGGTTTTGTTTGCAAAAACCCTGTAATCACCAGCCAGTCATTGACAGTACAATTACACGTGGTCTACCTAAGCCACCCAATTCTCCAGTTTTCGTAAGGTTTATATGTAATACTATTAAGAGTTAGAATTTTTCAACTAATTAAGCAACCAATGAAAGTATAGCATGACGGGTTTCTCATTCTGAAGTAGTTTACCCAAAAATTTTTAAAAATTAAATATATTTCAGAAAAAACACATTCCCATCTTAAAATCTGGAAGTTTTTCTAATTTTTTGTAAAAATAATGGCAAAAATTTAGAATAAAAAATTTCAAAATTTAAATTTTTGAAATGTGACAGTGTTATTTTCGTGGTACGATTTACTCCTTTTACCTAACATATAACATTATTTTTCTTCTTTTATTTCTGTATTTTTTTTCAAATTTGATTATTATTTCATTGCTCTCCAAAGATATGACCCCCATAAGTGTAAGATGACACTCTCAAGAAAAAAAAAAAGGAAAAGAAAAACAAAAAAACAGAAATTATATGGGATTGAAAATCATAAAATGAAAGTCAAGAGGAAAAATGAAGGCGTTAAAAATTTTTTTCCTTTTTTTTTTTTTGAGAAATATTAAGTATATAAACAATATCTGTTTATATAATAAAATTGTAAATATTTGGTCGCATATTAAAAATTTAGATACTATTATGAATGCAATGTAGGTGTGTATGTGTGTAGGCATCTAATATATATATATGGAATCAATTTTTTATATTCATATTTTTTTATGGCAAAAAAAAAAAAATTATATAAAATGCTATTATAGGTTTTACAATGAAGAGGTTTTTTGATGATCGTATAATGTTTATTATTATGATAACGTTTATCGTTTACAAATATCATCACACTGTTAACAATATACATACTACGGACATAATATACTCGTACATACGAGTATGCATACATATATCTGGCTTGTTATCACATAAAATTTTTTAAAAGGATAATTGTATAGGCAAATTCATTTTAAAATTTTTATTGTATACGAGATATTGTTGTCTTTGTCACATAATTGCAAAATTTTAATTCATTATTTTTGGTGTTAACGATGGCTGTTGATTTGTTTGTTAAATAAAAAATTTTTTTCAGTTTAGAAAATTTTATATGGAAAATGAAATAAACATAAAAATGTTATTATTTATTAGGTCTTAAGCTTTTACTTTAGAGAATTTCCTTTCCATGTATTTAAGATAATTTGATAATGTGAAATTTTAATCAAAATTGGCTTAATGGGCAGATTCTGGAGAGGATTGATCATATTTGTAATCTAGTTGTTGTATTGGATAGTATGCTTGATTTCAACGCTCATATCTATTCGAT